AAAGCCAAAACAAATGCTAGAATTAATTACTTTATTGTCTATTGTTTTGATTGCTTTCTTCCGAAAACTCTTATTTCTATTAAAAGTTATTGTTTTTCATTATGTCTTGTCGTTGAGAACAATGCTTCGTATCGATCGGTCACTTCTGCAGTGATATCACCGCTTGTTTAAAGATTAATCGCTTGACATCAACCGCAAACCAAACACTTATCATATGTAAATCAATTCAAATAGATATAAACAGTACATTACAGTGTATATTGTGTCCAACAGTACAATTCAATTAAATGATCAAATGTTAAACACATTTCAATTCATTGTATTAAAACTTAGACTATCCTCAAGATTATTTCTAGCATTTTGCTATTTAAACATTATATTAGTGTCCAAAAATAAAAACATAATTTAATTTAAAGAATAATAATTAAAATGTAATATTATTTTTGCATTTCATAACTAAAAATATTGCTTCATATAAGTTATTTAAAGTTATATAACAGTAATTCTATAAAATAGTCATATAAAGTCTAATTTAGCAGTATTTCAAATTATTTGACCAAAAAGTGATGTTTCGGAGATATATCACAAAATATGCGATAAACGAGGAAATTATTGAAAATGCATGTGGGTGTAATTAAGATCTGATTAAGGTCTATTCAAAATGTAATGATGCTATTCTCAATCAAGAGTAGAGTATTGATTGTAACGTTATGTTTGACGTCAATGTATGAAAAGTAACAAAACTTCTGATGAATTCTTAATTGAGACCTAAATGTGAATCTTTCAGAAAAGGGAAACCAGTTATTGAGCCATAAATCCTAACAATCATTCATTAGACAAATGAAGAAAACAAAAATTTCCTGAAATATTATTAAATAAATTGAGGCAAAAGTTAATATTTCGTAAATCATTTTTATTAATGTTTATTTTTAATAAAAACAAATATATAAAAGTTTCAAAAATATAAGTCATTTGAATTTCTAATCAATAACTTTAATCAAGACTTTTGACGATGTTTTGCGGCGACGGCTGCGATAAACGCGGATCCCTTACCGCTTCCGTCTTCGGCTAAGAATAACTCAAACTTTCTGTTGGGAATCAATTCGCCGATGAAATCAGTCATCAATTTATGAAGTTTAGGGTGTTTTTTATATAGCGAGCCGTCAATCGCTATTCTAACCATTGGTTTATCAATGCGTTGGACAACCGCTGAGAGATCTAAACGATTGGTAAACACATCGTAAGGAAAGGGATAATAAGAAACAGCAATTAAATAACGTAAAAAGAGTACAATATATAAAAATAACAATAATAATAAAGGACTACTGACTGGCGGCGGCTAACTGTGCGTTACGGACACCGATCAGAGCGCAGACATATCTAACGATCTCAATGTCATCTTTGGTTATCTGTTGTGAAGAATATCCCAATCTCTGCAACAATGCTATGACTGAACCATCAGTTTTGTCGCTCTCTATTAATGACACGTNGCTAACTGTGCGTTACGGACACCGATCAGAGCGCAGACATATCTAACGATCTCAATGTCATCTTTGGTTATCTGTTGTGAAGAATATCCCAATCTCTGCAACAATGCTATGACTGAACCATCAGTTTTGTCGCTCTCTATTAATGACACGTCTGGGCCTTTAATAGAGTCTTTTTCTTTCAATTCATTCCTTATGACTCCCCCAAGAAATACATGGTTTTCAGCTAATGATAACAGAGACCGACGAACAAGATCTCCAATCCATACACCGCCGAGTAGTTTCTCGAAACTATTGTTAATATATTTAATGAATTAATATATTGTATAAATAAAATCTTTGCAATAATTGGATTATATATTAAAGTACCCGTAATTATGAGGAAACAGTGATTCGTTGTCTATTTCTAAATCCCATTTAGTTTTGACAAAATCGATGGATCCGTTGTCTCCTA